TATATCTGTTTTAGATAGTTTTAAGATTTCCCTATTCATAAAAACATATTCATCATATTTCTGATGGTGCAAAAAACATGCTAAGATTTCTGCAAAGACAAAGACTTGATAATCTGTATTGGAAATTTATCGTATATTACTATATAAGCCATCTTTTCCATAGTATTACTCATTTCAAGCGAAAGCAACTTTGGAGTGAGCAACTTTTAGCAGTCCAGAATTTGCCTTGTTTAGGCACTTAAGATTTCACTGAATTGTTGGCCCGTTCAGCTTTCTCTTTACTGAAGCCCTTACTAAAGACTTAGTACAGGGTATCACGCAGTCGTTCACTGTCCTTTCAGCACTCTGAAGTACATCTCCTATTTCTGGCTGCTTTCGCTTACAAGCTGATGCGCAATTAATATGGCAAATCATAAGACGTCGCCAAGCGCAACCTGAGCTGCTTCACACCCATTTGATCTTGGTCGTGCGTGCCATTTGAAGTTGGAAAACACACACCCACACACACACACGCACACCCACGCACACACTCGAGCACACGCATAACCCTAACCCGCGGCGGGTCAAGGTTGATGCCGCGTTGTGATGCCCTCTGTATATGAGCGACCCGCCTCGAGTTTGTTGTGGGCGTGGCAGTTTTTTTTTTTATATTTATATATTTATGGCCACTACGTGTTGTAATGGGCGTGTTGCTTTCTGGTTTTCCATTTTTTAGAGGTTTGTTTTTGCCCATTTCGTTTTTTTTGTTTTTGTTTTTTTTTTTTTTCATTTTAAGAGCCAAAGCGACAACATAAAACAGTCGTCAAATTTATTAAGTGACATTTTGCCAAGGCAAAAAACAACAGCAGCATAAAAAAGACATTTGTCGGACACAAACACACACACACACATGTGCAGCTAAAAGTGAAAAAAAAAGCTAGCTAGGAGTTGGCTGGGGATAGAGGGAAAACGAAAAACTCATTTCAAGTTAATTAGACGAGCGCGGAATAACAGTATATGCAACGCAGCAGAGCAGAAGAGAGGCGAAGAGAATGAAAAGACGGAGACGAAGAAGAACAAGTAAAAATGGCCATAAAGGAAGATAAAAAGCAAGAGAGAGACAGAGAGAGAGAGAGTGAGGGAGACAAACCCATATAGAAACAAAATTTTCGTTACGCAGAAAAAAGCATATAATAAAATAAAAAAAGAGACAGAGCGGGAGAGATAGTAACTGAGTGAAAGAGAAGAGTATAATGAAATTGTTGGCAGAATTGCTCGGGCTATAAATTAAATATTAATTAATTGGCCAGTCTGTCTGTTCGTGGCCAAAAACAAAAACAAAGAAGTAAAAGAAAGAAAGGCAGCAACAACAAAAATAAATATGAGCGCAAAGAGAGCGACAGAGGAAGAGAGACAGAGCGAGCGTGAGGCAGAGCGCACAAACGGACTCGCTCGAAGGCCGCTCGGGCCTGGCCATGTCGCGGCGCTTATTTTGCATTTTCTAATTGCTCATCAGGCGTATGATTGTTACATTTGGGCCATGCCATCTTGGCTAATTGCATTTTATTTCATTTCGCTTGCCCTATTGACGACAATTTGCTGGCAATTCAATTCGCCTCCCCAAAAACAAAACACAAAAAAAAAGAAACCAAAGAAAATAATGGAAAAAAAAATGAAAACATTTTCCCAAGGCTTGTTAAAGAAAATTGTTGCTCCGCTTTGTCCGCTAATTGCATTGAAACAGTTTACATATTTAGTTGTCCCTTAGCGGGTCAACCTTCTCCTTCTCCCGCTCCCGCTCCAGCTCCTGCTCCTGCTTCTGCTTATGCTCCTGCCACGCCAACTCCATTGGCATTGCTTTCGCTTGGCTTGAGCATTCGATTTGTCGCTATGCTTTTCGCATTTCCCTTTGGCCAGCGATCCAATCAATCACCCCCAAACATCCTTTTATTGCATTGTTTCATTGCCCCTTATCCGCACAGACAGCTTAGAAAAATGAACAGCAAGCAGTCCACTTAAATAGCTTCATGACGTTTAACTTTGATCGATTGCCCAGTAAATATAGCCACGTTTATATGTATATAATATAATATAATCTGCGAGGCTAAGCCCGTGACAGCGCATATAATGGCTTGATAAAGTCTTAAATACTCGACTTTTAGCACCGTGCCACAGGCAACGAGCACAGCACGTGGGCTTAACCAACCCGAATTAAAGCCAAGACAATGAACATTTCGATAAATTACAATCAAATTTAATGAACCTATAAGGGATCGTTCCTTGAGGCTCTCACCGATTGAGCTTTATAGGTGGGCATCGATAGCTGAAGTCGCCTTAATAATCGCCCTAATAAAAATCGATATAAAACTTCAGTTTAGCTCACATTTGTATCCCATTTTTCTATTTCTATATCATCTCTCACTTAAACACAATTCACTTCAGATATTAATGGTCTTCATTTTATGCCGACAGCTTCTACCATTTACACCAAAGCGATTATTATCGATCGAGCTGAAACTAGGGCTGTAGAATATTTTTAAAATATCGGATCGATGATATTATAGGTTTTAAAAAATGACAATATGATGTTTGATGTGCAACTTTAAAAATACCGCTATATCAATATTTTTCCACTTTTGTATTGATTTTTTGATATATTTTCGGTAGCCCTAGTTGAAATATAAATATATTTTGTAGTTGCATATACCATGAAAGAAGTGTTAAAAACTTATTAAATTTCAATGCAAACTAAATGTCTTTTTATAAATATATTTTTATGCAAAAAAAAATATCGATATATGGATTTTTTGATATATTTTCGATAATCCTAGCTCAAATTTAGCATTTCAGGTTTTCATTGGAATCGAATAATGAAATAACATTTCAAGATTTATCTTTACCATCAATTTCAAACTGATTTCATTAAGCCCTGATGATTTTCTTGAATTTCTTGATATGCCCTGAAATCGACTTACAGGTAATCAACACATATAAAAATCTTTTACGAAATCTATTAAAATCGATTTCATAAATTTGCTATTTCTGAATATTATCAAATTTTAAAATATATTTATCGATAGCTTGAAATAATACAACACTCATTCGATTAACCATTAAGAAATTCAGCTTTATTATATAATGAGCTGAAATAAAAGACAATTTTGTTCCAGGTACCGAAATTTGGATTTCATCACTAGAATTTTGAGTACCTAATATATATTGCACCATCATCCTACTTGTTAATCATCATCTGGTATATCATATTCGAAACAAAGAGATAGTTGCGTTATCGAATACTAAGATCCATTTGTTTTGTTGCCTGACTTCTCAGCTAGCTATAAGTGATTGATCAAAACCTTTCCAGCAATGCCTCGCTCTCGCTCTCGTTCTCGCTCTCGCTCTCGCTCTCGCTCTCTCGCTTGCCCCGCTTCCTTTTCCGTTCCCGTTTCCGACTAGTTCAGTGCCATTTTTACACTAGCTTCCGGAAACTGTTTACTGATCTCGTCGTACAGCGACTTGTGATCGCGCCTGATCTGAGTCAGTAGCTTAATAGCTCTGTGGTGCGTGTTTTCATCGGGCAGCTGCTGCTTCTCCAGGGACTCGAGCAGCAGCTGCACTGTCTCCCTGAGATGTGGCTCCAATAGGTTGGGATTTTTCTCGTAGAGACGACGCATGGCCTGAACAATGTATAGGTACGCACCAAATTCGCTGCGAAGGGGCAAATTGGCATAGAGCGATGCCAAAGTGCTCTCATTGGATATGGTGTCGACACTGAGCATCATTCGAGCCACAACCGCACAGACCAGCTCCCGCTCGGCAGACGACAGCATCGAGCTAGCGCTGAGCGCCTCTATGAAGATCGTGGAGGTTGCCTGCACAATGATATCCGCACTCTCGGTGTCAGGGACATGGCTGAGCAGCCAGTGCAGCACATCGATCGAAAACTTGCGGGATTGCGGCTTGCTATCCATCATGCAGTCGACGGCGCTGTAGCAGAGCACATCGTAATACTGTTCGGCAATGATGCCCAGCGGCTCCATGCAACGGAAGACCAGATTGTACAGGAAGTATAGATGGGGCGTAATCTGTCCGGTGGGCTTGCACTGGCGCAAGCTCTTCAGGAATCGATTGCTAATGCTCTGGAAGTGGGAGGCGAACTGGCGCTTGCTCATCGACTGGCCAAAGGCCGGCAGCAGGTCGCCGACGGCCTCCATCACCTGCATCTCGGCATAGAGCGCCTGGCTGCACTGCTGCAGCACGGACATCTTTGTGTCCTGGCCAATGTTGAACTGGCAGCTCAGCTTGCGCCGCAGCGTGCGACGCACCACGCTGATGATCATTTCGGAGAAGCCCTCGCCCTCCAACGCATCGGACTTGAGCAGCTTGAGGAACATCGTGATGCAGTTCATCACGCCAATCACATTGGCCGTCTCCTTGGCCGTCTCCACAAAGTCCACCAGGTCGGGCATCACCTCGAGCCACTGCCGCTTCGCCTCCTGCACGTCGCCCTGGTGGAAATGAAGCGCCGCCAGCTCGCTCAGCGCCTCGTATGCCGCCCGGCGGCTCAATTCGTTACGTGAATCGGCGCAAATGGCGACGAAGCGCTCCGCATCGGTCAGATATGGGATAACCGCATCGGGCACATGCACAGCCAGCTGCTTGAGGCACAGCAGTGCTTCGTCCGGTGCCACCGTTGTGGACATACTGTCGCTGGTCACGCTTCTGGTATTGCCATCGTTCTCCGTCTGGTCGCCATGGCCGTCGCCGATGCTGTCCTCCTCGGCGCAAATACTAGCATCGGCATCCGTCTCCACTTCCAGGTCATCGGCGTCCCTCTCCTCGTCGCTTGCCTTGTCGTCGGCACCGTCTTTGATCGCAGTGAAGACGCCACTGATGATGGGCTCAATATTCTCGTTGACCTGCTTTGGGACATGCTTGGCGAGCGCCCCGAGCAGCTCCAGCGTAAACACCAGCGGTCCACCCTCGATCTCCAGTATTTCCAGGACGCAGTCCATTAGCTCGGGTGCACGAAACTTGAATTTCTCTGTATCTACGTGGCTCAACATGTTGATAACCTTAAAGAAAAGCAGGAATTATGATGATAGAAGGAGAAGTGAAGCAAATAGAGGGTGAAACAAAGAGGGGTAGAGCAACTAGAGAGATGCCTAGATGAGAGGGATCAATGGGAGGAAGAGAGTAACACGAGAGAGAGGTAAAAAAGTGGAGCATAGGGAAATGAAAGTACATGAATGCAAAGGAAAGGTGGAGGAAACGTGGAGGAGGGAAACAACTGAATAGACATGACTAGTCGATCCGTTAGTGAGATAAAAACGATGAAAGAATGAGAGTGAGAGAAAATAAAGCGACTGGAAAAATTGAGAAAAAATAAAGAGAGAAAGATGGAGAGAGATAAAGAAAGAGAGTGAAAGTGATTAAGAAAATTATAATGATAAAAGTTGGCAGTCCAACAACCTAAAATAACCACGCAAAAGAAGAGAATAGAGAAAGGGAGAGAGAGAAGCAATAGAACAGATTGACAGAAAGGACAAACCATAGTGAAGAGTAAAAAGGATGAGATAAAAAAGTGAAAGTAAGATAAAGGCAAGAGAAAGGAGAGATGAGACAGTAAAGAATCAGCTCCAGGGAGGGAGAGAGAGTGAGAGAGAGAGAGAGAGAGAAATGTGTGAAATATAAAGAAACGTAAAATAGGTAAATGGAAGGCGAAAGAACGAGAAAGAGAGAAGCAAGAGCAAAGCTTGCCAGAGAGGAAACATGTGAAAGTAAGACTAGAGATAGAGAACATAAAAGAAACGGAAAATATGTGAATGGAATGCGAAAGAACTAGAAAGAGAGAAGCAAGAGCAAAGATTCTGATTGGAAGACTACAAAGAGAAGATAGAGAAAATTGAGCGAAAGCAAAGAACGGCAAATCAACAAAAGAAATGACACGACAAAGAGCAATGGGAGAAAGAAGGCGTAAGTTGAAGTTAATAAAAAAGAGTGCAAGAAAGGAAAGCAAGGGAAATCTCCAAGCAATGAAATCAATGGAAGGAGGGGGCAAGTCGAAGGACTTGAAGATCGCATAATTTGTTTCTTCAAGCAATAATATAAGAGGACTATCTATGTGGGCCAACAAACCTGTATTGCCTGAGTTCGGAGAATCGATTCGTCGTCATCGTCAATGTGCTTGGCCAGCGGCAAGGCAATGGCCATGACCTCATCGAAGTGGGGCTTAAACAAATCCTTGGTCATTTTGGCCAGAGAGGCGATGGCACTCAGCGCCAGTTGGCGCAGTGATAGGGAGTTGTGGTTGGGGTCGGCCGTGTACATCAGTCGCCTCATTAGCTCGGCCAGATGCGGCTGGAGCGCCTCCCGCCTCAGGCTCTCACAGTAGATCTCCAGGGTGCAGAACATGCGGGTTTGCGACTCGGTTTCATGATCGGTCATCCGCTGTTCCGGGGTCATCTGATCGAGAAACTCGCAGAAGAGGCGCAACACTTGCGGGGCCATCACCGTGATTTCCGGCTGGAGATTTTCGGCCAGAATGGCGAGCGTAAAGTACGCGGATCGACGCACCATGGGATCAACATCGTGCACGCCCTTCTCGATGGCAGCGACAAAGCTGCGCAACGGCTCGTCCGCCAGCAGGTCGGTAAAGCCCTTGGCCATCAGCGCCAGGAACAGAAAGCCGGCGACGCGCTGCAGTGCCGACTTCTGCTGGTCCAGCTTGGGCAGCATGAGGCGCAGGGCGCGCTGCGCCACACGATTCGTGTCCGACTGGGCGGCAATGAAGAGCACCGTTTGGGCGGCCTCCGAGAGCGGCGATTGCGATTCGTGCGTGTCCATCAAATAGAGCTCCTCGCCATCTGCGTCCACGGCCGGCTTGACGGCCATCAGGTGGAAGAGCGTCATCAGCAGCTTGTCCATCATTTTGAGACGAATGATGTGCCGGCGCTTGTGACGCACACAGCTCCTCAGCGAGATGATGGCCTGGACGCGTATCTCATCGCTCAGATGGGAGTCGCTGGTCAGTCCCAAGAGCTTGTTGATCACCACGTGCAGCTGGGGCCACACCAGCTCTGGCAGATGCTTGTTCAGCTTGACGAGCACATCGAATCCACGGTAGCTGCGCTTCGGATTCGGCTGGTAGGCAAAGGCGTGCGTCAATTCCATGATCAGCGGCAGCGTGGCGGCCAGCTCATCCTGGTCGCTGACATGATTGCGAAACAACGGTATGGCCAAGCTCCAGCCGGCAAGCAGATTTTCCGTTGCCTGCGAGCCCAGTTCACCGTTCTCCTTGGCCTTCTGCAGTGCGTTCATGAATATGCTCTTGGCGCGCAGCAAATACTTCTCGAAGACATTCGGCGCCGCCTTCATCAGCAGCTTGAAGCAAATGGAGCCCAGCAGCTGGGCCATCTTGTCGGGGCTAACGCACAGCTCGTCTATGTGATTCATGATCCGATTGTTCCACTCGGCCGTCTCGTCTGTCGCGTCCATCACATGCTCCATCACCAGGCCAACACAGCGCACGATTGTCGTCTGCAAGCTCTCGTCATCGCTGATGGACATCGATTTGAGGGCATTGAAGAGCGCCAGCTGCGTGTCCTGCTGCTGGCTCAGCGTCATCTTCTTCCACATGCCCGCCTGGGCCAATCGATTCTTCAGTATGTGACCGGAGCACTTGCGCATGGCCGGCAGCTTGCCCACATTGCCGAGCACCAGGCACAGCTCGACGGTGCTGTCCGGATCGGCATGGAGGCTGGTCAGCTCCTCGGTCGATTGATGCATCAAGTCCGACTGGCTGTTCATAATGTCGCCCAACAGCTGGACAATTTGTGTGCGACTCTGCTCAATGGCCATGGTCAATGTTCGAAATCTTCGCTTTGAATCTTACGCTGGATGTATCTCTCTCAAGTCTGAAGCCGGCTGTTGAAGCTAACTGAGCAACTGCACTTGGATCTCCGCAATTCTTCGCAAACGCAATTTTTATAATATGCTTAAACCAATACTTAACGTTTTGTATTGATTAGTTCAATAGTAAAAATATACAAGAACTATCCCTAAGGTGAAACTTTTTGATATTTTTGAAAAAAAAAAGAAAATAATGAAAAAATATAAATTTCAAAGCGCGTTTGTTTGCTCGACTAACAAATGAAAATGAACTGATGAACTAACGAAATATAACATACTCGACTTCCCTTTTAGTCGCCTACTCTGATTCCCAAAAAATCAGGCTGAGAAAAAATGTAGCGGCTGTCATCAAGAAAAATCGTCTCGATAATTTGTAACACGCTAAATCGAATATCGCGATTAATCGAAAAAAATGAATAAAATTTGTTCTCGATAATTTGATAATTTGAGTTTCTGTGTGAATCGAAAAAAAAAAAAAAAACGGATCCCCTTGCCATTTTGAACTATCGCGAGTCGATTGTATTGTTTTATATATCTGAAATTCTCTGTTTCCAATCAATCAATTTTATTATACTAAATAGTGCAAAATTTATTATTTGGAAATTCGACTTCCGCACGTCAATCAGCGCATCAATCATGTGTAAATAGTTGAATTAGTTTAAGTTAGTCAATCAGTTAGTTAGGCGAAAGTCAGTCAGTCCGTCAATATATCAATCAATCACGCACAATTTTGCAGTTAATCAATCATATATTTCTCTTAGTCAATCAATCTATCAGTCTATCTATCAAACAACTATTCAGTCAGTTTGTCAATCAATCTCAGTCAATTAATTTACCACTTAAGCCATCGGTCCACAAATCAATCAGTAAGTTAGTCAATTAATTATATATGTATATACATAAATGCATCAGTCAACCCTTCAGTCAATCACACGCATATATTACTCTGTCAATCAATGTGTCTATCTATCAATCAAATATTCAAGCAATCAATCAGTCAACTAATTATTCAATCTGTCAATCATTAAGCCAGTCAAGCAGTCAGTCAGTCAATCCAAGGCATATTCAATCAGTCCATCAGTTAATCCATCAGTCATATGATACTCAATCAGTCAGTCAGTCAATCCAAGGCTTGATCTAGCTATATGCCAATCAGACCATCAGTCAATCTATCAATCATATGATACTCCATTAAATACGTTTATATATTTTTATTATAACATTTAATTTTTTTTTATTATTATTTTCATTTTAATATTTTTTTATATATTTTTTTCACAGCAGCAAACCAAAGAAATATTTTCAACCAAAACTAAAACAATGATGCAATTATTTCCGAATTTAGCGTCTCAAATTGAGGCATTTGTCAATATGTCCAGCACGCGCTATGCACTGGGTATATTCGGCTTCATAGTCGGCGTCAGCTTCAGTTTCAGCTCTTTCTCTTTCTCCCCTCGCTTTGTCTTTTCCTCCGGCTCCGACTTCGGCTCCAGCTTCTGCTTCATTTCTACTTTTGGGATCAGCTCCGCCCGTGCCTTCGCCTCCGCCTTGCTGACCTCCTTCAGCTCGCGCTCCATCTTGGTGCCTGCCTCAACCGCTTTGCTGACTGCAGCGCTCTGTAGTTGAAGCTCTGGTATTGGCAATGGCAGCAATGAACGCGGCGATGGCGGACGCTGCAGCTTCCATGGATAGACACGGCCCGAGCGCTCCAGCAGCCCGCCCTTGGGCACCGGACGCATCGGCATTGCGGTCGGTAGCAAACCGTTCTGCTTCAGCATAGAGCTGAGCTTGCCCTCGCTGTTGAGGGCGTTGTAGATCTCGATCTTCTTGCGTGAGATTAGCTCGACGGTGGGCCACTCGTAGCCCTGGCAGATGCAGTTGTCGTGCCAGAAATCAAATTCCTCGGTCGTGAACGCCATGTTGGAGATGTCGTTGAGCTCGTGCTTCTCCACCAGATCCTCGTAGCGCAAATGGAGTACAATATTTGTCGGGGTTTTGCCCACATAATAGCCCTCGGCCAGCTCCGATGTGCCCATGATCTCGGCAATGCGATATTCGGCCGGCACAGTCATTGGATTGACATTCAGCCGCACAAAGCAGCTACGCACCGTCGCCTCGAAATTGTTGCAGCGCAACAGCTGCTCGAGCCGGTGCCGAGTCAAACGCAACGCGTCCAGCTGCACCAGCGTGCGAGCCGGCACCGTTGCGTTTGGCCCTCCCAGCTCATCGACGACCACGTTCACCTCACCAATATCATCATCGACGCGTACGGGCAGGGAGCGCATGCGCTGCAGCTCCCACACGATTTCCGATTTGGGCCGATGTTTCCGTTGCTCGGTTATTCCAGTCCATGGCAGCTTCAGCGGCTGCATTAGCTGCACCATATCCGATGCATTGTACAGGCGTGGCGAGCTATGCTTTGACTTTGACTTGGACTTGGTCCTGGCTTTTGGCTTTGATCCCGACATTTCAATTACTCCACGCTGACCCCGGTGTTTGCTCACTGCTTAGCTAGCTGTCTCTAGTCTCTACTTTTGCTAAATATGCCTCAGCTCCCTCAGTGTTTTTCGTTTCAACTGACTGCTGTCAGCCAAGGGCACGCCTACTTCGATGCGACCCTTGGCATTACATACGGACGGACGTAAGTACGTACGTAATGTCGTAACGCCGTTCAGCTTCACGACAGCTTACGATTATTAATTTGGAATTTCAATTGCTTTTGAATGGCGGCCAAATGTGTGGATGCTGCCAGAGAGCTGACTAAATGCTTTTCATTAAACGCAACCGTATGGGGTATATGCACTAAAGATATATGAACTCAAAGCTCTCCATTAATGTATTTGTTAGTCATATATATTTTTTTCTTAAGCTACATATATGATTACAGGGTATTATAAGACCAAATTAATTAATTGCTTATATATCCAATTCATTATAATTTACAGGGTATCATAAACTCTACTCCGTATGAAACGGGCCTAGGTTCTCAAACTTACATGAATACAGGATACTAGAGGGTATCTTCGATATATAATATTTTTGTAAATTATATCTTAAGCACTTCTATCATAAGTTATATTTTCTATAAAATCGTTCCAGGTACTTCAACTTATATGATTACAGGGTATTAGAGAATCCCGTCGAACAATATAATATTTCTGTAAATTCAATCCTAAGCATTTCTATATAACATAAGCCACATATATGATTACAGGGTATTGATTAGCACATAATTTCTCTATTTTACAGGGTATCATAATCTGTACTCCTATAGCACTTTTAAAATTTATTATAAGGTCTACTTCATTCATTACTTTTCTGTTTATTGAACGTAACATAATTACAGGGTATTTCATTGCCTACTACATATAAAATGTATGCGGATGCATTTAATGACTTTTCTTATCCATTCTCTCTCTCTCTCTCGCTCACTTTCTCTCTCTCTCTTTCTGCTGTCTGTCTTTCTGTCCTCTCTCTCTTTCTCTCTCGCACTCATCCTATCTCTCTTTTCCGCCCTCTCACGCTCAGCTTGGACCATAAATGCCAGCCAACTATTAAGTTTATATTAATTTGGTTTTTCTTATCCTTATTTTTCCTTTCCTTTTTTTTTTTTTTTTTTTACCATAAATGCCAGCCAACTATTAAGTTTATATTAATTTGGTTTTTCTTATCCTTATTTTTCCTTTCCTTTTTTTTTTTTTTTTTTTGTTTTTTGGCAACAATTACTTGGCACATACGCTGCTTGGCGGGCCTCTCGGCCGTGGCTGGTGTGAGTGGCACGCCCATTTGGAGCATTTGCCATTAAATTGGCAAAAGATTTATGGTACAATTGCTTTAATTACAGTTGCAGCTAATTGTATGCAGCCCGGGGCAGATGCTCTAGACGAGACCCACCCAGCTACAGCTTGAGTCGAGCTGGTGCTCCTGCTCCTGCTGATGCTCCTGCTGCTGCTGCTGCTGCTGCTGCTCCTGCTGCTGATGCTCCTGCTGCTGCTGAAATCTTTGCATGCTTTGTATGTGAGTCTGCATAAATAACTTAAATGTGAATCTCGATGAGCATAAGGTGAATGCGGAGCACATGGATGGTGGAGCCCATTGAAAATGCTGCTCACGCATTGATTCGAAACTGCCAAAAACACACACCCACACACACACACACAGAGGCATAGACTTCAGCTTCGGCCCACACACTTAAGGGCCAACTCGTTTATGCAAGCGCAGTCATCATCATCATCATCATCATCATCATCATCACGACCAACGCCATCATCATCCGCATCCTCAACCTCGTTCACATATCATCCTGGTCCAGCATCGTCAGCGTCGATGAGCTAGTCCAACTTCAATTCCTTCACAGACTTCGATCCTTGCTCTATGTAGATGTATGCGAGTGTGTGTGTGTATGTGCGTGCATTGGATTTTTGGTGTCGGCTTTATGATAAATTTATAAATTAATTTTGTTGAAGAAACTTGCGAAACACCTCTAGTTGCTCGAAAGGATTCAACACTGTCGGCTCGGCAATAGCGTTTCGGTCTCCTTGAATCACGTACCACATGAATGCTCATTCATCTCTGTGGGCGTGGCAGTTCATGTATGCATGATAAAGCATCAGAGTTTATGCATAAACGCGTCAGCCCAGAAGATGAACAAATTTATGCGGACTCAAGACTCAATAATACCCGATAGCATGGACAAGTATGTTAGATTGAGAGACAGCCAAAGCCCAAGCAGGTGGAAGAGATTGCGAATGCGAATGCGAATGTGAAYGGGAGAGCGATGGAGCGGGGTGAGACGTTGGGGGACAAGACAGAAACCGCGAATGATAGAAGGGAAAACATTTAAGGAATCTCAAAAGCAGATTAGAGGAATACTCATGGAAAATGTAACTATAAATAGAACTACGACGAGAGACATGAACAAGAGAATGAGAGAGAGAGAGAGAGAGAGATAGAGTCAGAAAGAAAGAGAGAGGGAGAGGGAAAGAACAGAGAGTGAAAGACGAAGGAAGACACAAAGGAAACAGAGAATGAGAGGCGGATGCAAGAACGTAAGATATGAGAAAAAGAGAGAGATAGAGAGAAAGAGAAAAAGAGAGATGGAGCTAGAATTAGAAAGAAAGGAAAAGTTAATTAGGGGGGACACAGAGTAAAAGACAATGGAAGACACACGACTATATGAAGAGAGAGAGAGAGAGGA